TACTTTTGACTATGATGAAAAACACTTCAAATCCTTTCTTGAAAGCAGGTGGGGTATTTAGTTATAAAATTATCACTGCCAATTTAAACATCTGCTAAACATAACTTTGATAAATAATCTTAATATGGTTATTTAATAATTACATATTCTAACATCACATTAAAGGCTTGAAAAATTTAAAATTCACTTATCAGCTCACCATCCAACAGTCACAAGAACCATTTTTTATAATTATATCACTTAACAAGCAACCCACAGTTCAGCCATTTCCCAAAGCCAAACTTAAAACTAAAAACTTACCCACAGCAAAAGATGTTTGTTAGAGCAAGGCACAAATTTAGCAACTTGAAAAAGTATTTCATTATGTAAAAATTAACGTACTGACAGTAAGGCCTGGATATGTAGCTCAGTGGTAAGGTGACCCAAGGCTCAATCCCTCATACCAGAAATAAAAACTAAAAATCTCAACACTAAGCTTTGCATGGTGGTGCACACCTGCAATCCTAGTGACTTGAGGCTGAGGCAAGAGGATGGCAAGTTGGGGGCCAACCTTGGAAATTCAGTGAGATCCTCAGCAACTTAATGGGACACTGTCTCAAAATACAAAAAAAAAAAAAAGGAGCTGAGGGTGTAGTGTAGTGGTACAGCACCCCTGGTTTCAATCCTAAGTAACCCTCCAAATCAACATTTCTCTTTCTTTGTATGTACTACTGGGCATTGAACCCAGGAGTACTCTACCACTGAACTACACCCCCAGCCCTTTTTTATTTTTATTTTGAGATTGGGTCTCATTAAATTGCTAAGACTTGCCTTGAACTTGTGATTCTCCTGCCTCTATCTCCCAAATTGCTGGGATTATAGGTGTGGGCCACCACACTGGCTCAACACTATTCTGATGGTTTCTTCTAAATCTCATCAAGTAAATTGTGACAGTAAATAAATAGCAGTTATGCCTAAAACCTATTTGGTTCTAATAAAATCTACTAGGTGGTAAGATCTAGTTCGGTAAGCAAGAGGGTAAAACTCCTTATACTTTCCCTCTAGTTAACAGGCAAAAACTTCAAAAGGCCTTGGGCCAATCATTCTCCCAGTGGTTTTCAAGGAGGCCAGAAGACTATGTCTAGCTAACAAGTGAGAAAACTACCCTTTTCCCTCCTTTCATTTAGTATCTGGTATAAGTGCTTCCAACTGGCATTGAATGTGAAACAGCACAAAAAGGAAATACAGTGAATCTTAGAAGTAGATGCTATTAAGAAAATCTCAAGAATTTGGAATATGGAGGTGTTGACATGTACAAAATACTTGGGAATACAAGTCTTAGGCAAACATAGTTAAAACCTTCCCCTTGCTGGTCACGGTGACACATGCCTAAAATCCCAGTAGCTGGAGAGGCTGAGGAAGAGGATGGCAGGTTCAAAGCCAGCCTCAGTAACTCAGTGAGACCATATCTCAAAATTAAAAATAAAAAGGGCTGGGGATGTGGCTCAGTGGTTAAGCACCCTTGGGTTTAATACCCAGTAACAAAGAAAGAAAATAGTTCCTCATAGCATTCAGGTGCTTTATTATAGAAATTAACATTTATTTGTGGTACTGGGGGTTGAACCCAGGAGTGCTTTTACCACTGGATTACACATCCAGTACTCTTCATTTAAGTCAGGGTTTGGCTAAATTGCTGAGATTTTTCCAAGGCTGTACTTGAATTTGTGATCCTCTTGCCTCAATCTCCCAAATCACTGGGATTACAGGCACGAGCAAATAAACCCAACAGAAACTAGCACTTCTTAAGCATTTAGCTATACATTCAATATTAATGTTGCTATTATTGCTGATGAGACTGCAAATAGAAAAGTTTGGCTCAACTTTTCTGGGGGACAATTTGACAATAGGTATCCAAAGCCTGAAAATTGGTACATACCCTTTAAATTAGTAATTCTCCTCTTGGGATTTATTCTAAGCTAATAATATGAAAATTTAAAGGAATAATCCATTCATAATGTCACTAAATAAAGAAAGCTTTAAACAATGACTTCAATTTTTGAAAATGTAGCTGGGTATCGTGGCACACGCCTATAATCCCAGCAACTTGAGGCTGAGGCAGGAGGATCACAACTTCAAGGCCAGCAACAAGACCCTCAGCAATGAGACCTTGTCTTGAAATAAAAATAAAAAGGGCCAGGATATGGCTCAGTAGTTGGTGGTCATAAATCAAGATATGAACAGTTTATCTCAGGTAGTGGAATTGTGAAGGATATATTCTTTTTTACCTGCTATATATCCTACATTTTGCACAATACCATTGCCACTCCTCCTTGCCAACATTTATTGTTGCATTTATTGTTTTATTATGTGTTGAACAATGTCCTAAGAACTTTACTCCTATCTCATTTAATCCTCACAGTTAACTATAGGTGGACAATGTTTTATAGAAGAGATTACCAAGACAAAGAAAGATTCAATTCAGGTTCTCTAATTCTAGCACCTTAACTTTTAACCCGTTTATGTTTATGTGTGGGTATATACACATGCACTCATAAACTATAAATATACGTATGTTTCCTGTGTAAATGTATGTTTCCTATGTAAATGTATGTTTCCTAAATAACTAAGGATTATCTTGATTTGGGAAGAAAAATACTCTGCTCACAAAGGCAAAGATTCTAGCTGAGCCTGGTGGCATGTGTCTGTACTTCTAATGGCTTGGGAGGCTGAGACAGGAGGATTGCAAGTTCAAAGCCAGCCTCAGCAACTTAGTGAGACCGTCTCAAAATAAAAATTACAAAAGGACCTGGGGATGTGGCTCAGTGGTTGAGCACCCCTAGGTTCTATCCTAGGTACCAAAAAGGTGGAGCAGAGATTTTGCCAAATTCTAGCAAATAGCAAAAATTATTTTATTTGAGCACAGGCTCACATCTGATGACCCACAGCAGTGAACTGGCCTATCCAATACCTATAGATTCCAAGATTCATTGAGCAGAAGATACAATTTCTGCAGCTTAGGAAAAAAAAAAGATTGTTGGAAGGGATCTCCAAAGTAAACATTTTTATGTTCAGGGCCAATTTCAGAATATCTACAGAACCACACGCTAATAATGATTAAGCCAGAAAGAAGGAAAGTAACCAATCAGCAATTATCTACATTAGGCTTAATCTAAATCAGTCAGGAGGAAGCTAAATTGTTCCCCCACCACCACACCAATACAGCCTCCTGTTCTGCTATGGTACATTATGCAGAGGGCAGAAGAGATTAACACAAGGAGAAAATAGCCTTCATATTTTTCCAGAAAGCACAGGAAATGGATTTAATAACCAGAGGGCCCAAAGAAAACCTCCAAATGAATAACATTCTTGTCCCCTAGCTATGCTGCTACTCTGAGTCTGGTCTGGTTTTGTCTTCTTTAGTAAGGCCCCTGAGCCATAATGGTGTGTTGAAAGCCACAGATAGCAGCTTGCAAACCTCTTTTGACTAAGGTATTGCCGGGTTACAGATGGAAGTGTTTGCGCTATCATTTGCATTACAATCAGCAGCACACTAATCCAGGAAGAAGCTATCAACTACAGATGAAAAGTTTTATATCAACTGGGTCTAAAAAGATAGGGAGAATTACAGTTGGAAATCACTTTCAAGAAGAAAGCCAAAATCCCAGGCATGATGATGCACACCTGTAATTCCAGTAACTCTCAGCAATTTGTAAGGCAAGTTGGAGGCCAATCTCAGCAATTTGGTGAGATCCTGACTTTAAAAAAAAAAAGAATTGGGGATGTAGCTCAGTGATAAAAAGCTCCCCTGTGTTCAATCCCCAGTACAAAAAAAAAAAAAAAAAAAAAAGGAAAAGTGTTCAATGTAATCTTATTTAACTGATCATTAGATGAAAACTTTACCCTTAACACATGTATCAATAATGCTGTGGGCAGTGCTATGATTTGACTGATGGGATAACAACTGATGGGATAACCTATCAAAGCCAGAATATTCTACATTTAGCTGGCAGCGGCACTGAAAGAAGCAGGTAATTAAGTTATCCCCAAAATAGTACAATGGTACATGTGAAAGTTGCAAGTAGGGGAAAGGAACAAGACAATGAAAGAAAGTCAAATGTTAATGCACTGTTAGATCCAGAGGTTCCACTGCATTACCTGTCTTTAATTATTTAACACTCAAGTATAAATTTTACCCTAAATTCTCGCACATAGCGATAAGAAATGGGTAATTCCAGGATAGACAATTACTGAAAAATATGCTAATGTACCAGTAGCTGCATTGGGTAAAAGGTCAAAGATCCAATTCAGAACTAAGGTTCCCTAAGACTTTCGGGATGACTCAAGCCGAGATGCCAATGATCAAGGGTGCAGAATTAATGTCATCACTTTATTCGATCAACTAGATTTAACTTAAGGATGGTTCCGATTAGTTGGGAGATTAATGATTTTAAAGATGTGAAAGTCAACGCTTGTCAATCTAAGGGAAGTCAGTAGTAATAATTTTCGCGCCCTCAGTACATAATGCCAATTTCCTCAACACCAAACCAGACTGACACCATTTCAAATTAAAATGCTGCTTCTTAGATTCTAAAATACAGACCGGGGGGCTCCGAACGCGGTACATTATCCAACGTACACCAGTCCAAGAGCTGAAGCGAATCCAGTCCAGCCTGGGCGGCTCAACAGTGAAGCGACAAAGCCACGTGTCCCCACAGCCGAGGCTAAGCGTCCATCCCCTCCCTTCGCTCTAGGCAGCCACTATCACTGCATTGGGTCTTCCATCCCTGCCTTCAAACCCAGCAGCTTCGCCTCACGATCCATCTTGACTCCACCCCACCACACGGTGAGAATGAACGTGACCCTCCCGCGCAAGAGGTAAAATAACGGAAACAGCACCCTCGCCAAAGCAGCCCCTTTTCCCCCTTCCCCCAGTTCCCCGGAACTCACGCGGAGGCCCCATCCCCCACAGCTCCTGCCTGCTAAACAGGTGAGGTCTGTTGGGGTCCCAACTTCGCCCTTACCAGGTCTCCTGGTTGCTGAATTTCTTAGTCACCACCTTGCCTAGCTCCAGGCCCAGGCGGTCAGCAATTTTCTGGGATAAGTCCTGATGAGAGCTGCCGCTGAAGATTTTGATATTCGGCATCTTGAACAATTATCCTAGGCGCTCGTCGCTCAGCGATCACTGCTGCTGCGGAGACCAGAACCGAAGTCTGCCCAAATACTTAATACTGACCGCTTTGCGCTGCTACTCCGCCATCTTACATTCCCGCCCGGCGCGCGGCTCTAAATTACCGAGCTGGGGAGGCGGGATCAGCGGGGGAAGTCCACACCCACTCATTTCCGATTGGCTGAGCGGGATCGAGGGGCGGAGACCTCGCTGCAGCTTCACCTCTCTTCTATTCTCTCGAGTATTGGCTGGAGGGCAAAAACCGGGGTGAGGCTAATAGCCCCACCCCTTGGTAGCTTTGCGGTGGGGGGAGAGCTGGCTACAGAGCGTGGAGACATCTGACTGGGGGTGAAAGGATATGGGTGGAGGTATACTGGTGACGCGTAGAACCAGATCTTTCCCGCAAGCAGAGATCACGCATGCTTTCTTGTTCAGCTAAAGACATTTAAGTCTGGCTCTAGTTTATAGTTTCCTTTAAGAAAATATTTTAATTAGATAGCAGCCGCATGCATGTGTAGGTTTCTGAACTCGATTTTTATCTCTTTATGAGGGTGGGACTGGATTAAAGCACTTTTATAAAACAGAGACACCCCAAACACAAGCGGTCCGAAGGGCTTGTTTACCCTTTGTAATTGTGAAGTGTCATCTTTGCATGGAAGATAAGTCCCATGGGGATAGTGACCAAAAGCATGGCACCTGAGTCATACAGACAATCCAAGAGGAAGAGGCATTTCATTTCTAACTTGGAACTGACTATATTTAAAGAACTGAAGGAGCGTGGATTTCCCAAAATATACGAAAGTTAAAGTCTGATTTTATCTAACCCTTGGAATGGAAAGGAAAATTAGTGGCTGGGCGTGGTGGCGCACGCCTGGAATCCCAACGGCTTGGGAGGCTGAGACAGGAGGATCAAAGCCAAGCGCTAAGCAATTCAGTGAGATCCTGTCTCTAAACAAATTACATAAAAGGGCTGGGGATATGGTTCAGGGGTCGAATGCCCCTGAGTTCAATCCCCAGTACCAAAAAAAAAAAAAAAAAAGTGTTATATGAGACTGCAGATAAAGAAGCCCAAAGGAGGCTGAGAATGTAACTTAGTGGCAGAAAATTTGCCTAGCATGCTTGAGGCCCTGAGTTCCATCCCCAGTACAGCATGAAAATAGGAAAAAAGCCCTAGAGAGGGAAGGTTCTTACATTATTACCTTCTTATCTGGCATGGTGGCACATGCTTGCAATCCCAGCTACTTTGGAGGCTGAGACAGGGGATTTCAAATTCCAGGGCAGCCTGGGAAATTTAGCAAAACCCTGCTTCAAAAAGGGCTGAGGGATATAGCTTAGTGGTAGAATACCACTGGTTCAATTCACAGTACTGACAAAAAAAAAAAAAAAACCTTGAAGGAATCAGAAAACATGGTTTTCCGTCATGTCCACCTCATATGACCTTCAATGGCATCATGTTCAGTTTGTGTTGCCAATGTGATATTTAACCCTATTTTTATAGTGATACTTGCTAATTGTACCAATGTGAGCTTTTCTTTCTCTCTCTCTCTCTCTCTCTCTCTCTCTCTCTCTCTCTCTCAGTACTGGGAATTAATTGAACCCAAGGATGCTCTTCTAATGAGCTACATCCCCAGAACTTTTTTAAAAAAAAATATTTTTTAGTCATTGATAGATCTTTATTTAATTAATTTATTTATTTGTAGGGTTGAGATTCAAACCCATTGCCTCACACATTCTAGACAAGCACTCTACCACTGAGCTACCACTCCAGCCCCTTCCCAGAATTTTTAATTCATTATTTTGAAACAGGATCTTCTCCATTGTCCAGGCTTGCCTGGAACTTGCCATCCTTCTGCCTTAACCTCCTGAGCAGCTGGGATCACAGCCGTGTTTCAGCCTTTATTATTTATTTATTTTGGAACCAGGGATTGAACCTAGGAATGCTTAACCACCAAGCCACATCCCCAGCCCTTTTTTATTTATTTTGAGACGGGGTCTCACTAAGTTACTTAGAGCCTCACTAAGTGGCTGAGGCTGTCTTTGAACTTGCAATCCTCCTGCCTTAGCCTCCTGAGTTGTTGGGATTACAACTCTACACTACCATGCTTGGCTTCAGCCTTTATTATCATATCACATTTTCATTAAGCACATTCATCTGTCCATAAATTAGGAAAAGTAAGAGAAAATTCTCATGCAATTTTAGAATCAAAAGTGAAGTTGTGGTGCTGCAGTTGTAGCTCAGTGGTAGAGTGTTTGCATAGCGTGTTTGAGGCACTGGATTCAATCCTCAGCACCACATAAAAATAAATAAAATATTGTGCTCATCTACAACTAAAAAAAATTAAAGTGATTTTGTAAGCCAGGTGTTATAGTTTGGATGTTAGGTGTCCCCCAAAAGGTCATGTGTGAAACAGTGCAAGAAGGTTCAGAGGAGAAATGATTGGGTTATAAAGTCTTAAACCAATCAGTGATTTAATCCCCTAATAGGGATTAACTGAGTGGTAATTGAAGTGGTGGGGTGTGGCTGAAGGGGGTGGGAATTGGAGCGTTGCTTTGGGTATGTATTTGTATGTGGCTAGTAGACTGTCTGATTCCTTCCTGATCACCACATAAGCCACTTCCTTCTGCCATACTCTTATGCCATGTTGTTCTGCCTTACCTGGAGCCCTGAGGAATGGAGCCAGCTGTCTATGGATTGAGACCTCAGAAACCATAACCATGGGCTCTCAAATAAACTCTTCCTCCTCTACAGTTGTGCTGATCAGGCCATTTAGTCAGAGCAGTAAAAAAGCTAACTAAAGCACAAGGCATGGTGGTGCATGGCTATAATCCCAGCACCTCAAGAGGCTGAGGCAGGAGGATCACAAGTTCAAAGCCAGCCTCAGCAATTTAGCAAGGCCCTAGGCAATTTATTGAGATCCAGTTTCAATTTAAAAAAAAAAAAGATCTTGAGATGTAGCTCAGCAGTAAAGTACCTCTGGGTTCAATCCACAGTACCAAGTACATTTTTTAAAAAAGTTTCAGACCAGCCTAGGTACCTTAGTGAGATCCTATCTCAAAATAAAATAAAATAAATAAGAAGAGCTGGATATTCAGCTCCGTGGTAGAGAACCACTGGGTTCAATCTCCAATAGCACAAACACACACAAAAGCAATAATCATGGAAATAAAGAAAATATCAGCCGGGCGTGGTGGTTCATACCTCTAATCCCAGTGACACAGGAGGATGGTAGCTTCAAAGCCAGCCTTAGCCATTTAGTAAGGCTCAAAAAATCTTAGTGAGACCCTGTCTCAAAAAAAATGGCTGGCTATGTGGCTCAGTGGTTAAGCACCCCTGGGTTCAATCCTGAGAGAGAGAGAGAGAGAGAGAGAGAGAGAGAGAGAGAGAGAGAGAGAGAGAGAAAGGAAAGTAAGGTCAGTGAGATAAGAGTGATTGGGAAGAAGGGGTGGGTCATGTAGGACCTTGTAGGCTATTGTAGGCTATTTTAGGAACTTTGCTTTTACTGAGTAAGGGTTTTCAGCAAGGAATGACATGACCTGATCTCCCTTTTAAAATGTTCGTCCCAGCTTCTGAGAATAAATGCAGGAGGCAAGATAGGAACCAGAGGGACCAATTAGGAGTTGGTTTCCTAGTAGAAGAGATGATACATTTATATGAATAATTTTAAGGTGCAGTACAATTTAACATAGTGCCATCAAAAAACCTGCATTTGGATAAAGGGTAGGTGAGCTGCTGTAGCAATGAGCCTCTAAAATACAGCTGATCAAGTAAGACATATTATTTCTCTCTTGCATAACAGGCTGCTCAGCTAGGCCAATGGGACAATTCTGTTGCATGCTAGGTCATAGGCACATCCACTTTCCAGATCATGGGAAGAAGGAAAGTGAAAAGGTTAGTGCAAGGGATTTCCCTTTTAAGCAAGTGAGATGATATTTGTCTATCTCACTTTCTCTCACATCCCTTTGACAAGAGCTTATTCACATGACTGAAAGAAAGATTAGGAAATGTTTTATTGGATGGCCCTGTTCCCAGGAAGGTGAGTGGATTTTGTAGAGGCAGCTAGAAGTCTCTCACAAGGCTCAAAATATTATGCAGGTCCAGGGCTAAAAGAAGTCACCTCTGACTAGGTGTGATGGCACAAACCTCTAAACCCAGGGACTCAGAAGGCTGAGGCAGGAGGCTCTTGCAAATTCAAAGCCAGCCAGGGGAATTTAGGGAGACCCAATCTCAAAATAAAAAGGCTGGAGATTGAAGCTCAGTAGAGTGCCCCAGGGTTCATTCCCCAGTACTGCAAATAAAATAAAATAAAATAGAAAAGGAAAAGAAACTATGACTGAGTTATATGTATATTGTGGTGGGTTCTATGAATTTAATATAATTCAGAAGACATGAGCTAAGCTCCTTTATATCAGGGCCTCTTGAGAGTGGTCATACAGAGAATGAACAATCCATAATCCTTTCTAGCAGGCAGGAGATACAGAACTAAGGTTGATATAGGGGCATGAGAAATGCAATCAAATAGGGAGGATCTGGAAATGGTCTTTCAGGAAAGAGGCTCCATAAGACAAGGATCACAACCTGAAACAGAGCAGAGAGAAGAGCTTTAACAAAGGCCAGAGCAGGTGAATGCACGTGTGGGGTGAGATGAGGTGAAGGGGGGTGTGTTGACAGATCAGGTGAGAAGGATAACTAGCACACAACTATAATCCCAACTACTTTGGAGGCTGAGGCAGGAGCATTGCAATTTTGAGGCCAAACTGGGTAATTTAGTAAGACTCTAAAAACAAAATAACGAAATAAAACTATTTATTTATTTGTATGTGGTGCTGAGGATCAAACTAAAGGGAAAACGAGGAACGAGACACAGGTAAGTGAGAAATTAAAGCAGAGACCAGGTAGAGACATACATGAGAATTTATTTGTCAGAGCTGACAAATAAAGGCCATCTCTCCGTAGGAGAGAGGCAAAACAGGCTTGAGTTCTGGGACTTTTATGGGAGAGGCTCAGGAATCAGAGCCATTGGGTCCATTGGGTTAAGGGTTGGGTTGGTATGAGGGAGTGGTGAGCCTTTCTCAGAAACACATTTGGGCGGAAAGCGAAACTTTTTCCTTAAAATGGTGGCTAT